CTACTATTACCATTGGGGTTGATAACCAAGTGTTCTAGAAGAACCAAATCATCTTTTATTGGATGCCCTTCTTCGTTTCCGACACGAAGCAAGAAGTCACTGAATGTTGGATCTGTTCTTACTTTTATATTTCTTGTCATTTGAATATTTTTCGTTTGAGGTCATAAGTATAATTCTGGCAAGCTAGATTTTACAATTTTTGTTTTGGTCAATTTTGAAACTACTGATCGTACTTGACAGAAATTACCTCCCAAACTATTACTTTTCCACCAAACGGTTCATCGATATTCAATATATCTCCAAAACTCTGGGCATTGTTTCGATCGTTTGACGCTTAGCCAAATACGCTTAATCAAATACTATCACTTTTGCTTTACTTATAAATTTAGCACTATTGTTCTGCTTTGATATGTTTGTGATGGTTATTTCAGAAATTTGAAGAGGTATATCAAATCTAAAGTGAGTTGTACGACCTCATAATAAAATCGTTGCCGGTACACCACTTGTTCTTATTTCTAACAATATCATGCCTCTTGATCTGATATTTGCAAGTAATGTATGACCTAAGAATATTAGTTCGATTTCGTCAGAGGCATCTATAAAGGATAATCTCGCTATACCAGAGTCGACTTTTTATAATATAGTCTTGAAAGCTTATTCTTGTTCAGGATTTAGCTTTAATTGTGCTTACTCAAACGCTTGTATGGCATTCTTAATATTATACTAATCTTTTTTACTTTGTGATCTGTTTTTCTAATCTCTAATACTCTTTTTATGGAATAAATTTATGTACCCTAAGTATTTTTTTTTAACTTGAAAATAATTTTTACTCATATGATGAATTTGAAAAATAATTTAATTGGATTCTCTTGCCAAATAATTAATTGAAAGATTTGAATAATTGGTATTAACATTATATATAATTTATTTTCTATTGATTTAGATTCTTAATATTATTTCATCTGATGTTTGAATATTTAACCGTAATTATAATTTTATCCACCATAAATTTTATTAAGAATAAAAAGATCGATCTGACATTCCACTTTTTGATCTTTATGTTTCAAAATCATTAGTGGTATTGTCTCTTACCAACCTTTTTCTTTCTTCTCTCACACATTTATTTTCTAAAAAGATTCTTAATTGTTCTTTAATAATTGTATATTTTTCTATATTACAAAAAAAAAAGATAAAAAAATATTATTTGATAGGAAAGCAGTACAAATATAATATAATGATATATTATCGTAGGAATTTTTCTCTCAATTTTAACACTTTATACAGTCCGTTTAGCATTTATTTTAATTTTTTTGTATTTAATTTTATAGACTGGTAATGTATTACTAATAGGAGGATTCTTATGAAATTGATCTTATTAAACCTTCATACATATTTTTAATAAGAATTCAATAGACAAGATTGTATTAATCTTAAAATCTTAAATATTAAAAATATTAACATAGAAGTTATTATAACCCAAAAAAATAAGTTATTACAACTATGTCTTTTCCCTATGAGTTCTTCTGTTTAATATTTTAGCGCAATTTTGGTCTATCAATATTATATTCGTGCTTTTATAATAATATAGGCTCTCCCGTTTCTAAATAAATTTGGACAATATAATACGTTTTCAAATTAAATTAGTAGTATAATTTTTTAAAGAAGTATATCATAAAAGTAATAGGATTACGTGGCTAAAAATATGTCCATATCCCAAAATAATTTTATTAATAAAAAATCTAACATGTTCCTAAAGGTATTAGATTTACATGCTAATATGTAGTATTTTATATCTATGCCCGAACATAATTATACTAATGGGATTTCTAAAGGTAATCATGTAGGATTCTTAACGTGTAGTATATATTATGTCCTAAAACTAATAGGATTACAAGGCTAATGTGTAGGATTCCGATTATGTCCTTTTATTGTGAGTTATTATGCTTTAGATGATTGTTTTATTATTATATATAAAATTTCTCTCCTTAATTAAATTTTATAATTCCTTCAAATAAATAAATATTTAAACCATCATGAGCCATTATAAAAGTGAGAACCCCAAAAGTTAAAAGTTAAATTAACGAAAGAACCTTCTAAATAATTGAAATGTACCTTATTTAATTATTTAATAATATTGCGTAGTGTAAATTTCATTCTTTATATATGAATTTCAGTAGTAACCAACATTGGAAAAATATCGTTTTAAAAAATAAAAAGAATAAAATCTAATTTTTAAAGGTAATCATGTAGGAATAGGATTCTAACGTCTAGTATTTTGTACTAAAATTAAATGTCTAGAATTCCGATTATCTCCTTTTATTGTGAGTTATTATACTTAATATTAAAAGATTATTTTTGTAATCTAATATTTTATTCATACTTTTATAATATAGATAGATATAGATTTAGATATAGATAGATATATAGATAGATATACTTTTTGGCTAGCAAATGTTATTATATCCGACCGATCACCAATTTTGTATCGCCGGAGGCCCGGAAGGAATTACCAATTGGGGCCAGACAAGGAAGAAGAACCGAAGAGTTGCTTTAAATATTGTTCGGGATTCAAGAGTTCCCTCGGTTTATTATAATAGTCTCAGCTTCGCCGCACTCCCTTCCTCAGCCACCTTGAGGTATTTTCTCTTGCTCATTTTTTTGCTAAGTTTTTTTTTTTGTTTTTTTGTTTTATTTTATATATGACTATTGCTTCCTATTTTGTGTCTGGGTATTGTTATATCAGTTGCTGTTAAGGAGGGAATGTTAAACTACTAATCAGGCCATTTAAAATGATTTTGCACTAATAAATTTGAAAGCTTTATTAGGAATATTACATCTATATCTGTTACTGTAACTTTGCAATTTAGCAGCCTTTCTACCCACAAAGATTATAGGAATAAATGAAATTTCTGGTGGTTAAGTGCAATAACTTTTTCCTGGTTATTTTGCTTATATGGAAAATCCGGCAGTCCATGCTAGCAAAAAATAATAAAAGGCATTTCAGGAAATGTTAATTAGTACATACAGAAGTTGATTTTGAAGGAAAAGTGCTAGAATTACAAAGAGTTCTGGATGTGGGTAAAAAATGAAGTGTATTTTACTACCTGTATTATTGAAAAACAAATCTTATCAGGCATAACCTTGGTGTGTTGCACCTCGAGAAGAATGTTTTTAATATTTAACATCGTGTGAATGTACAAGAAATAACGAAGGATAATGCCAAAGCTAGAGCAAATTTGAAAGAATTTGATCATTGTCTAGAGTTATATTGGGATGAAAGTACGAAAATTATTTTATAGCTTGTTAAACGTTGAACAAAAATGCAAAAGAAGTGCTAGCTAAGAGGATGAAAAAATTAAGATTTTTAGCGAATATATGCCTAACACGGCTAGATGTGTCCATATGAACCAGCTTAATTTGTTGGTATGAATAGCAATGTTCGTCATGTGTTTATGCAGTGCCTAATAGCCATAGCATTAGAGAACAACTAACAGAAAATGTATGGCAGTTATTGGCAGGCAATGCTTTGGGTATTAGGCGCTGGATAACACGTGATAGCAATGACTTCTCGTTCCAATTAGTTTAAGCTTGTTCATATTGACGCATCTACCATGTTAGGCATATACGCCGAGAAATTCTCAAATCTTTCACCTACTACACTACACTTCTTTTGCATCCTTGTCAGCACGTAGCAAGTTTAATTGGGTCATTTTTATCTCGATATAATTCTGGATTTTCTTTCAAATACTTCTATATTTAGCATTATCATTCGGTTTTACCTGGATGTTCATCATGTTATGAAAATATAATTAATCAAGAACATTCTTCTCAATGTGCATCACATCAAGATTATGCATGATGATATTTGTTTCCGGTAAGCCACGTTTAAAGTATGTACTTCTTCCATCCACATCAACTAATCTTTAAAACTCATAGTGTTTATTCTTTCAGAATGAATGTCAACTTTTTTGAGCCACTAATCCTCAATCTCCTTGAATATTTTGTAAATCTGCTTGGTCAATGGATACTCCCTTTTTGTGCTGTTTGTCCCTTCTTGAACCCCCCTTTTTCTTAATAGGGCAAACTAGGACTGTTAATTTGGAGTTCAGGAGTAAATTGTGAAATCTTTGTGAGATGTTACATATTTAGATTAGATGGTATGCCCAAGATTAGTTATGGTCTTGTGTTTGTTCCCCTTATTGTCTAGCATAGGAATGGCATGCAGTGCGGGGCGGGTTCTGTCTGAACCCGCACAATTTCAAACCGTCCAGCATGGGATTTAAACCTGCATTCACCCGCCCCACACTCCACCGCGTTCACCCGCCCGCAATTTTTTTTAGTATAAGTTCTCTCTTTTTTAGTGGCTTTTTTGCCAATAAAAGTTAGCCGAAGGAAATCCTGATTGTTGTCTCATATGTTCCAAGTGACTACTACATAAGACATAGCAAAAAAGCACAATATGATGCCAATATTAAGAGTTTATTTCTTATTCTTGTGTTATTGAAATGTCCGATTCATAATAGTGAATTGTCTTTCAGTTATTATAAAAGGAGTAAGACTAAATTTTGTGGACTGTGATTTGACAGAGGAAATGCCTATGATACATTTGTTAGCAACATGGTAATTTCCAGAGTGAGGTTTATGTATACCTCTCTGGTGAGTGTAAATATTTGCAAGCAAACACAATGTTGAACCCCAATCAACATGTAAATCAAGGCACGTTCAAGAAAGTAGGAGTATTGATTTAAAAGGGCACAAAAAGCAGATTCTACCAACTTCGCATTTTATCTTTTTTGCCTTTAAATTTGAGGCAGGTAATTCTTGTTTTTCTAAGATCCCAAGCAATGTAATAATAAAGTTTATTAGCAAGAAGAAACCTTATTACGAAATCTCAATCGATTTTTCATTGATAGTGGGGTTTTCCAACCAGTGCCATTTTGCGCTTACTTTTCAGTATAGCAAGCATGATTCATATTTCTAGTCTAGCTTGCTTTTAGTGCTGACATTCGAATTCGTATTGTATTCAATCCCCAAACCATATTGACATTCACCACGCACACCAACATAACAGGGAGGTATATGTAACAAATTGCAACACCCAAATCCCCCTTTACAATCTACAAACAGATCTGAACAGCAAGGTCTATACTCAACAAAATCTATCAAATTTAAATTACAAAACCACAAGAAATTGTATCAACAAATGATAATCTCTTCCTCTTCTATCGACCAGTAAGCCAACTTGAATCTGGCTCTTCCTCTCCGTCAAGTAATGTTGGACATGAAACTTCGTCCACCGTTGAAGCCAAACCTAAAAAGAAACATGTATAGTATTAAAAATTGAAAATCACTATTAACATTACAAGTGTTTGAAAAAACCACTTACCATTTATTTCGTTCCATAACCAAGTGCGAGCACCGATTAAAGCCTCCCAAAGTAGTAGGATGAAGTCTACTACGATGCGGACTAATCAATCTCCCACTAGTACTAAATGCAGATTCTGAAGCAACGGTAGAGCCAGGAATGGCCACGAGGTCACGAGCCATTTTTGTAAAGTAGGAAATTTTAATCCGTTTGTCTTCCACCAACTTTTAAAGTGTCAAATGATGGTGTGCATGGTAGCACATTTTCTTCTTAATAAGAATCCAACTCCGATCTTGTGTCCACGTTCGAGCTACTCGACGCAACAAACCTATCAAAACTAGACAGTCGGTCACCCTCAACATGACCAACAACTTCACTAGAACTATATGCTTGGGATGACTCAGCTGCTCTACTCTTATATTCTTGAAAGAGATCAACGCAATAGTTTCGAACTTCTTGAATTTTATCTGAAGCAGCTTCTCCACCATAAATATGTGTAAGATAGAACTCCACCAACCTCATCTTATACCTCGGATCAAAGATAGCAGCTATACCCATCGAAATATGCACTTCATCCCAGTATTTTTTAAATTTCAACAACATTGTTGATGTCATAAAGCTAATCAAAGGATTTAAACTTTTCACCAAGGCTTCCAATTCTAGCTTAATATCACAAACTTTAGAAAAATATTGAGTAGAAGTGGGATATTGACTCCCTGAGAATTCTTCAGTGATATGGTAGAAAAGCTTTAATGTATCACAAACTTCTTTTGATGCACTCCATTGCCCTTCGATTGGAAAACAACGATAACTAAGGTCATTTAGGCTCAACTTCATAAACACATCTTTGTATTGTAGGGCTGTTCTCAATATTAGATATGTTGAGTTCCAACAAGTAGAACAATCATACTCTAACTTTTTGTTAGAAGAAATATGTAGCAATCGTGCAGCTTCTTCAAACCTTTCGATTCTGCCTGAAGACCCTATCCAATATAAGACACTGTCACGCACATTATTAATACTATCTTGTATCACCTTTAGTCCTTCTTGCACAATCAAATTCAAGATATGTGCGGCACATCGCACATGTAACTTTCAACCCATCCACAATAAATCTCTTTTACAAAGTTTCTCATCTAGCAAGGTTTTCATCATAGCATTGTTTGTGCTAGAATTATCAACTGTAGTTGTTGAAATTCTTCTTTCAAGATTCTACTCTAACAAGCAATTAAGCAACACACTACACAAAGTATTATTATCATGTGGAGCAGGAACATAAACAAATCTAAGAATATGGCTGTGAAGTCTCCATGAATCATCAATAAAATGTGTTGTAATAGCCATGAACCGTTTTTTGGTGTTGTCCGAAATCCACATATCAGTTGTTATTACAATTTTACTTGTGAGTTTTTCCAGTAACATAGAAGTTGTTGATTTTAAATTGTTGAAAATCTTCCTTATATCATTCTTGATTGTGGTCCTAGACACCATTTTGAATAACGGTTGGAGACTAGTAACAAACTTCCTAAATCCTACATGATCAACAATGGACAATGGATACTCATGCAAAATGATAGCATGAGCAAGTTCTCTGCGTGAAATATCTTGATTAAAATAGTGTTGTTGGCTACCATCACCCACCGAACTACCATCATTGTCCAAGTTTCTTGACTTTTTGCAACATCGACTACGAATATGATCTAACATGGACAATGTCCCACAATTTCTTGTTGATTTGATACGAGTATTACAATACTTACAAACATCAAAACGAACACCATTAATTATCACCGGTCAGAGACATATTTGTGTAATTCTATTCAGACCTTGTTTGTAGTATTCTTAGATAGTCTGTGACTTGTGACACCAAATTCTGGGTAGTATTGTACTTCAGATAATGTAGAAATGTTTGGTTAAACTATTAAGTTTTCGTCTTCCGTGGTTTGTATTAAGTTAAATTATCAGATTCGTCTTCCGCTTGTTAAATGATCTTATTATTCCCGCTGTTTCATATATACTGTATTGAAATTATAAGGACTTAAAGACTTGAAAAGGGTAACTAAATTGGAATGGTTGGCTTGCCTAGCTTTCACTAGTAGGCGTCATCACGACTCCCGAGGGTGGAAAATCCGGGTCGTGACAAGTAAAATGCTTCCATGCATGGGAAATAAATTTTCTTTTCCCAGTTTCATCAATAACTTCAATAGTAACTTCATCGACTTGCATAGACAATTGACTCTCACTCTCTATAGAAAAAGTACTAGAAGACGAACCAATCGGATTCTCTTCATTTTGAGACTCCATATTTTTTTATAAAAAATAAGCTAAATTAATATTACGAGACATTTCTAAGTGCACATGGAAAATGAAAAATGACTCAATTAAGCGGCAACATAGGACAGTAAGCTACTAATTCGAATTAAATAGGAAAGGGGACTCACAATCCGCAGTGTTTTCCATAAAGATAAAGCAGATAACAAAAAAAACCAGATCGAGATATAAATAATATTATGATCTATCCAACAGTAACAGTTTTGCCCTAGTCCTGATTATTACAGGTAGTTCCTCCACTTAGAACATCCTTAACTATCGAAACAGCAGACTAAGTTTTAAACCAAAATTAAATAGGAATTCCACAACAAAGATAAAGCCCAAGAACTTAATTCAAGATTACTAGAACCAGAAATAGGAGCTATAGTGAGAAGTAGAATTCAGAGAGAGAAAGGGACTCACAATCCTTGATAAACCACAGAATAAAACCTTCACTGATAATTGAAAGCTGTTGTAAATCCTTTCTCTGTGAGAAGAGAGAGATGAGTCGTCAAGAGAGTGAGAGAGCAGTCGACTAGGTCAATAGAGTGAAATTGGGACTAGGATTTAACATTTAGCCTTTATGTCTGTTAGTTCAAAAAATTAAATCCCCAACCCGCGACCCGCCCCGCAATCGCAAACTCCCAAACCTGCTCCGCCCCGCTAACGCTCAAACTCGCCCGCCCCCTACCCGCACCGCCCCATCCCTATCTGTGCATATAACTAAGTGTGATTAAATCTCCCTTCTCTGGGCCCTTATGTTGGATGCCTGTTTACTTTTTTGCAAATTCTAAGGATGTTTCACACTGATTCTAAACCAGGAAGACACATGTAATGGAAGCTTATCGTAAGTTGAAGTCCATCCAATCGTAGTAGGCAAGGGCGGAAGCACAAGCCGAGCTATGGTTTCGATCGAACCTAATATCTTTTGCTCAAATGGTGTATTTGGTATTTAAATTTCATTAAATATTTGTACATATTAAATTTAGAACCTAGTCATTAACACTTCAAGTCGTCGTTCAAAAATCCAAAGCCCATAAGGTTGGAATTCAACCTCAGCCTCTAGTAGTAGGTACAGTGGGCTGACAAGCATATAAGAAATCCCATCTTGGCAATAAATGGAAGAAACCGATTGCAGGATCATCTCATGCGAAATGTCTTTGAGAGAATTTTATCAAAACATTAGAAGTTGAAACCATACTATTACTTTCCTTCCTAACATCACTACCCTCTTCAGTTGTGCAAGTAAGAGCAATAACAACAGATCCAATATAATCCCACAAGTGTAGTCTAGGGAGCGTGATGTTGGACATATTTATATATGTTTTAATGCTACTTTACTCGTATGTTTACCGCTCTTTGATTGTATTTTATATTGATTATACCCAACTTAGCTTAATCATTGGTGTTACACTTATTTGAATATTAATAAATGATATAGGTACCTGAGAGGTGTATCTGGAACAAAAATGACAAAGTTGGAGTCAAAGGGTGGCATACAACATTGGTGTAAACACGAGGTCGAGTGATTCATGCAAATAAACACTGAGAAGATAATTTCTTGAGTTGGGATTTTGTATTGGAGTATCTCATTAATACCACATGTTGTACTAAGAGGTGAGGAGACCAAGTGATTAGGTGATGTTCATTACGGATGAAAACATTGGAAAGAAAATGACAGAGAGCGACAATTTGAAAGAATTAATCGAAAGCAAAAGTTAGGCACACCAGCGCTACAAAGAATGAAGCAGCGAAACATTTACAAAGAAGCGGCAGGCTACTGGATTTAGCTTAGGGTGGCAAATGGGCGGGTTGGACTGAATTTGGGCGGGTTAAGATGGGTTAGGTCAATAAATGGGTCATTGCCCAATCCAGCCCGAAGTATACTTGGGCTAAGATGGGCTGGGTCAAGATGGGCTAAACAATGGGTCATAATCCAACCTGCCCAACTTGACCCATGTTTTAGAACCATGCTCATCTTGCATAAAAAAACCTTTTACCTTAAAATGTGTAAGTTGAAAAATAAATTTTGCTGGGGGGGGGGGGGGGGTAGGGGGAGTAGGGTGGGTGGATGGTGCAGGAAAAATAAAAAAAGTACAAAAATAAAGTAAAAAAAATTTGAGGGGGTTTGCGCGCGGGGGGAGAGGGTGACAGTAGGGGTAGGGTGGGTGGGTGGTGCAGAAAAATAAAAAATTGAACATACAAAAAAAAAGTAAAAATATTTTTTTTGAGGGAGTCTTTGCCCGAGAAAAACAAAAGAACAGAAAATTGAAAATACAAAAAAAAAAAATTAAAATTAAAATTGGTGCAACTAAGTAAGTTTCTAGATAAAATTGGGTTGAGATCTTTTTATTTTGGGGAGTTTCATGGGTTGTATTTGGGCTGCTTAATGGGTCAAAATGGGCTATAAAAAATAATGGGTTAACTTGAGCTTAGCCCAAATGTGACTCATGAGCTAAAATGTTTATAGCCCAACCCATTAATCTCTAGGCGGATTAGATGAGTTTGGACTCAAATTGCCACCCCTAATTCAGCGCCAGGGCTAGTGCCTAGCGCTACCCTGGACGCTGGGTGACGATAATTGTCCTAGTTCGCGCTGCACAAGGTTATTTCGACCCTACACAGACCCATCTCGTATATAAGGAGTCCTAAACCTATTTTGGAGAGAGGAGGACGACGTTTCTTAGAGAAACTTTTGACCTAGGAAGAGCACAGAGCCGCCGTGGAGTTCGGGTTTTATTTTTTCTTCCACCAAACTTAGTACTTCCTCCGTTCCAATTTATGTGAACTTGTTTGACTGGGCACGGAGTTTAAGAAAAAATGAAGACTTCTAAAATTTATGGTCCTAAACAAGTCAAAAAGTGGCCCAGAGTATTTGTGTGGTTATAAAAACTTCTCATTAAGGGTAGAATTGTACGTTTAAGTTAAATTGTTACCAAATTTAGAAAGGGGTCATTCTTTTTGGAACAGACCAAAAAGGAAATAGGTTCACATAAAATGGAACAGAGTGAGTAATATTTATGTTTCTTTGTATGATTTGTCGTTTAGCTACCATGTCTATGTGGAGCTAAACTTCACGTTCTAGGGTTGTGGTTTTTTCATGACTATTGTTATTCGGATATTGATTTTGCTTTCTTGAATTGCCGTATCGGTTTATTTATTCAATCATGCGCTTAATTATTTGATTGGTTGATAACCAATTGAATACTATCAATAAATCTAGAATTGAACTCGAAAGTGAAAATTCTAGATTGCACATAAGATTGAGTAGAGCAAATTCTTGATCCTGGGCATCGGGGAACGGATTCGCAGTTAGGATAGACATATACCTAATTGCCTTGCTTGGTTTATGTACAGCCATTATAAATGTGTTCTTGTTAGTTATAATTCCATAGACATATAGGTATTAGGTTAGCTTGAATAGGTGAGTAAGAACTCGACAGGTTCTTATAAGCAATATTAACCCTATCAACCAACGAACCAGATGAATTAGTTAGTCAATTCAATTGAAGAATACAATAGGAATGTTAGATAGCCCATAACCCTGGATCGTTTTCATTACATTGATAACATAAAAATCTAATCTTCCTTTGTTCAGAGTTCATTACTTATTTTCTTTTTAGTTTAATTACTTTAGCATCACTACTTTTGGGTTCAATTCTTATTTAGATAAATGGGATAGTTTAATTTAGTTAATAGTTGATAACAAGTCTTCGTAGGTTTGACACTCTATCTTATCACTTTATTACTTGACGACCGTGTATACTTGCCTGCGCGTTTGGCCACAGTAATGTCTACGCAGACCTTACCCCTACTTTGAATATAGAGAAGCTATTTCTGAAAGAGCCATGGTGCATTCAGTTGTGCAAGTGCAGTCATAAAATAGTTGACACAATTCTTTGTGAAGTGTTTGCAAGTCTCTATCTTTTCTTAATTTTTTTTATTTAGTCCAACTTCTCTTCCCCCTCAATATTCTTTCCCAAAACCTTTTTGAAATAAGGATTGGAGTTTGGAGATTATTCTATGGTTCAATCTTTTTGATATGATTAATTTCATATTTCAATGACTTGGTTTATTGCAAAGTAATGAAACTTTAATATTGGGCACCTTCGAACTAAAAAGGGAATTTTCAAGATACATTTGTTAAATGAACACAACATTTAAATTGAATACAAGTATCTTTACATAAATAGTCTGCCGGATTCACGGTTTACTCTTCGTAACTAGTATACATAGATTGTACATTGGTTATATATAATTATATACATATTATACATGTATTATACATCCGCCATCTATTTTTGTTTAAGTGATTGCGTGAGTGACTATTTAGGTTAATTCTTCTATTTTCATCTACTCTGAACCTAAGATCTTTGGACTTCCTCTTTAACTGGCTTACCACTTGATAATGATAAAATTTATCCATACCAAGTGTTTATACCAAATAATGCATGATATGTATTTGTATATAGACTTCTTTCCACTAACTATGGTTAATTGGTATAAATTCTCATAGCATTAAATTACTTAACCATGATTAATTTTTACCCTTGATCAGATTTACAAGACTTCACTCGAAGAAAATTTTGAGAGTGTAACTTAGTGTCCTCACTATAATGGAATTTATAGTGCTTTATGAGTAATATAGTGTGTCACAACGAAGTCAATAAATGGAACAAAATTATAGTCACAACCCAAGGATACTTCCTGTGTCAAACGTAAACAAATTTTGTTGAAAGGCTATTGTAATAGGTAATTGTAAGAAACTCACATTAGAATATGTTCGCATGTGATAGTTGATGCATGAGTGTTCTTAACTTCGGCACCAAGAGTAATTTGTGCCACGACTTAATTAACTATACCCCAAGTCCCAACTATTAACGTGAAAAAAATAAAATAAAAGAAATGTTACCATTTTCTTCCTGTAAAAAGACCCCATTCTGAGAGCTGTGAAGTACCCTCGCTGCTCCAATAAAGTCAACATCACATTTGTTATTTGAAAATTGCCCGCCCGGATCCGGGGAGGGACAATTGCACTTGCGTAGCCCTCATTTGGAAGCACCCGAGGAGCGACTCTTGGAGGAGGCGGGGGAGGGTCTGGAATGTTGTCATTGGCCTGGCGGCCTCTTCTTTGACCTTGAGGTACTAGAGGCACCTCATCTTCTCCATTATCATCAACCTCCTCCCTCGGTGGAATATTTCTAAGAGGATCATTGTTTGCCAACCCTACACCACAATAGAGTGGCAAGAGCGATCGATGTAGCTTTACCCGATAGGTCGGGATCGAATCCACAGAGAGCTAAGAAAGGTTTGGAATTGGATTCCTATCTAATTTAGCAATGTGTTATGTTTTTAATTGCACTTCCAATCATTCTTGTTCGTTCACTATTCTAATTTTTATACTAATGATGCAAGTAATCAGACTAAGTATGATCTTTTTGTAAGATTTTCTTAATTGAGGGAAAGGCACTAGGGAAGTGACTTACTCCTAGGTGAGTACCTAACGGGATCTAAAACTTAGGGCAAAATTGTTATAGTTAGGATCGTGATATAGACAAT